GGAGGCTAAGTGAGAGGATTGCTTGAGCACAGGAATTTGAGATCAACCTAGGCAGCATAGCAAGACCTCATCTCTTCAGAAAATCAAAAAATTAACCTGGTGTGGGTGCGCACACCTGTAGTCATAGCTACTCAATATTTGACGTGGGCCGAGTTCCATTCTTGATGTAGGTAAAACTCACATGCTCTAAATATTATAATTTCATTCTCAACTACTTTAAAGCTCTTCAGTTTTTTTCTATAACCAAATTAGATAGATGAAACTTACTTCTATTCATCTTTATTAATTGTATACTCCTACTGCAAGAGTGAGGCAGAAAGATTGCCTGGATCCAGGAGGTGGAGGTTGCAGATTGTGTCACTGCACCCTTCCAACTTGGGTGACAGAGTGAGACTCCGACTTTAAAAAAAAAAAAAAGAAAGCAAGAAAAGAAAGTCCGGGTTCAGTGCCTCAGTCTGCAATCCCAGCACCCTGGGAGGCTGAGGCGAGTGGATTGCCTGAGCCTGCGACCCACCTGGGCAACTTGGCCAGACCTCGTCTCTACAATAAATCAAAAATTAGCCGGGCATGGTAGCGTGCACCTGTAGTTCCAGCTCCTTGGAAGGCTGAGGTGGAAGGATCGCCGGAGCCCAGCAGGTTGAGGCTGTGATGACTAGGAGTGTGCCACTGCACTCCAGTCTGGATGACAGAGTAAGACTCCAACTCAAAAAAAGAAAAGAAAGGATATAATGAACTACTTTTAGACTAGGTGATGATATTGCTAAGAAGGCAGCATTTCCACTGAGACCTGCATGACAAGAACAGTTAGTGCAAAGGCCCTGAGGAGGAACTTAGCTTTTTCAAAGAAGAGGAAGAGGCAGGTGGAAGTATAGTGAATGAGGGTGAGTGGAAGGCAGTAGGTGAGGTCCAGGACTTGGGTATCAAGTAAGAGGTGGAATCTTAGTCCAAGGGCAACTGGAAGTCACTGGAACTTTTAAGCCAAAGATTGACGTATTCTGATTCATATTTTGAAAGAGCCACTCGGGCTCCTAGAAGGAGAATGGATCGTTGGAGGGCAAGAATGAAAGCCAGTGATGTGTTTGTTATCTACTGCTGTGTAACAAACAACACCTAAAACATATGTCTTTAAATTATTGTACTAGTTTGTCCACTATTTCATGGGTCAGGAACTATGGAAAGGTCTCAACTGGGCAGCTCATCTCTGGTTCACACAACATGAGCTGGGGTGACTGAGGCTGGAGGTTCCAGTTCCAGGATGGTTTCTTCATGCACAGGTGTGATACCCAAGTGCTCCTGGATTTTTCTCTTTCCTTACATGACAATTTATTCTCCAGGGCCTATCTATGTGGCTTGGGCTTCTCACAGTCTGCTGGTCTAAGGGCAGAGAAGTTTCTGACATGGAATCTCATTTTGGAGAGAAAGAAAGCAGGAGTGCCTAGCTATTGTTACACTTGGAACTGGGACTAGCTGCATTGCTTCTTCCATACTCATAGGTCAAAGAGCTCACCCTGATTCAAGAGGGTGGAAAAATGAAGCCCACCTATTGATGATGGAGCAACAGGGTCATGTTGCAGAAGGGCATGTGTGGGTGAGAGATATTGTTGCAACTACCTTTAGAAAATCCAATGTGCTGAGTCAGGCGTGGTGGCTCACGCCTGTGATCCCAGCACTTTGGGAGGTGGAGATGAGAGGATTGCCTGAGCCCAGGGATTCTAGACCAACCTGGGCAACATGGCAAGACCGCATCTCTATAATCTAAAAAAAAAAAAAGTCAGGCATGGTGGCATGTGCCTGTGCTTCCAGCTACTTGGAAGGCTGAGGCAGAAGGATCACCTGAGCCCAGCATCGAGGCTGCAGTGGCCGTGAGGGTGCCACTGTACTCCAGCCAGGTGACAGAGGAGATTCTGACTCAAAAAAAGAAAAAAAAAAGAAAATCCAATGTGCTACAAGGGAGGTGGCCATTCTGGTAATTCAAGCAAGAATAATGGTGGTTTAATTTGGATGTTCAGCCTGGCGCTGAGAAACAGGTGGGTTCAGAAGAATCTATGAACAGAATATATGGGAACTATAAAACACTAGCAAGTGCAACTGAGTGTAAGGTTACATGGATGAGCACTGCCCACCAACAATGAAGTAAGTCACAAATACATCTGATCTAGTCACAGGACACATATATCATTGTCACGCTTCAAAATATGCTTTGTTTTAAAGCATCAGTTGTTTAAGACAGAGAGTTAAAGACCCAGATATTGGGGCTATACAATGAGATCAAAATATGGACCTATAGACTGTGGGACCCAGGGACTTCCGTGTTCTGTAACCAGAGGTGCTTTGGAGGGTAAAGAGAAAATGTTCTAGCAACAGAACATCTTCAAAGGCTTTATGGAAATGAGTGCATTTTGACCACAGAAAGATGTGAGCAGTTTTTACCGCACACATTTGGTTACTTGAGCAGACGAAGCGTATAAGGAATAGGAGTCCGTATATTAAAGGGAGTATATAAAAAAAGATTTGGGAGGCAGTGACAAAAACGCTGGAAGCTATTTTCCCATTTTGACATGAGAGAATGATCCCGAAACTCGCCCAGAGTTACCTAGTGAATTAATGGCAGAGCTGGTGCTAAAAGACGTGTCTCCTGATTCCAGTCTGGGATTCTTTCGATCGTACCACCTGCCATTCGGCCCAGAACACAGCTTTGCTCTGTACTGTGGTCATATTGAACCTTTGCAATTGCTCAACTGACTTTCAAATAGTGCCAGAATGCTGGGAGAAGAGTGTATGAACAAATCAAATCTGTTCCCCCATTGGAAACATAACTCTAAAGAGTGCTTTGCTAAGTTTGACTCAGTGGTATCTCTTTGTGGAGCAGACGGTACATATGTTCATATGAAAAGTTGTCACAGGGAGACTCCTCGCTGTGCTGCTAAATGTCCCATAAAGTATTTCTTAAAATTCATTGAATGCCTAAGATTCTGAGGTCACCCTATAACTCTCAGTTCTAAAATCTCTACCAATAAAACCACTCAAGACCACCAGGATTTTTTTCATTTTTTGTTTTCTTCATAGTTGAAGTGGGCAGAGCTCCACTCTTGACGTAGGTACAACTTACATGTTCTAAATATCATAATTTCATTTTCAACTACTTTTAATTGCTTCAGTGTTTTCTATAACCAAATAACATACACATAACTTTCTTTTATTCATCTTCGTTATTAATTGAACACTCTTGTTGCACAAAGAATCGATACTTTCACGTCATCCTCATTGTATTTTCTAGGAGGAGAATAATGATCCAAAGATGAGGTTTTCCCTTGCTAGGTATGGTTTCACATTTGAGCTTATTTGGGCAACTATCACATCCCCACACCCTGAAAGGATCTGTAATATATTGCTCTTTGATCTCTGCACAAGAAGCAATTTGTTGGGCTCCACACTTCAGGATTGGGGCTTGGGAATGTATAAATCTAGCCTGTGGAAGTAGATGTCTGTTCAGCAGGACTGCACCACAAAAACCTCACACCTTGATTACATTTCACATGTTATATTGCACTGACAAGTTTAACTGCATCCATGACTGGGCCAGGTGGTGTTTGAATTCCCAGATACCTTAAAGTTTGAATGCCTCCAGCAAGAAAAACTGACTATTCGGAAGGCACAAAAGTTGTAATATTTCAGGCAAGTTCAAATCAGAAGAGTGAAGGCTTTTGGCCGTGGATTTTACTAGCACATTTATATGAACCTTTAAGCATTTCAATAAGGCTTTCAGACAGATGCTTAGGCAGTGTTTTTCCTGTAGGTCTTCATTAAAGCATCAATATTAATTAACCTATTTTTTAAAATCCCTTATGGGACCGCTGGAGCTGTCTTCTCCCGCCCACTTTTTAAAAACACTTTCTCTTATGCCTAAAAATTCGAGTGCTCTCTTAACTAAGTGCAGACTGAAATATTTCACTATGGATTTGAACAGGAGCCAAGACTGACGATGAAAGGAAAACTTCTCTCTATAAAAGGTTTATTGTCAGCGCTTTCTAAAGATGTAGATTCTTCTGAAACAGGCTACCAACCTTTTCACAAACATTGATGCAGCCTTCCCAACCTCTCCTAGACCTATGATTCAGGCCCTTTTCTTTTAGGAATGCTCTGTGTCTAGCCTTTGACCTTCTGGATAGCCAGCTTGATCTAACCACGCCCTCCCCCATCGATATAATGTATATTATAAAAAGGAAAGGGGGATGGGGTGGCTTGGTCCTCACGCTATTGGAAAAGTACTTGAAATTCCTTGCATTCCTTTGCATTTAACAGCATGTTTACCTAATCACCGGCTTATTAGGATTAACGCAAGTCATGCTACAAAGCTCATTTAGTGAAAACAAACTGACTCCTATAGATTTTTTTCTCTAATATCAGCCAAGGATGAATTTGTAAGTAGTTCTCCTGATTTTTAGGAGAGATATTGGGAAAATATTAAGTTATAAACAAGTGACCCTTTATAATACATTGTCCAACCTTATTCAATCCTGCCCATGGTTTTAGACGTGGGCAGCTGGGGTTATGAATTATCTATTTTCATTAAAGGGTTTCTCTCCTCTACTGAAGTCACTTGCATAGTAACTTGGTCATTGAAAAGATAAATGACTCCACTATACCCAGAGTGATTATGACCTTTAGGCTTTTCATTCTGATGGAAATAAAGCATTAATTTTTTTTAAAATCACAATTTATCTCCAAAGTCTTTTGTGCTTTATATAACACTTAGTGATCAATACATGTTTTTAAAATATTTACTTTATGTGCTAAGATTTTCCTCTGCTGAAGATTTAAAAGCAATCATTATCTTGTTTTTATAACTTAACTCATTGCTGCATCCCAATAAGGCACCTAGAACAATTCCTGATGTATAAGGCACCCAATAAATCTTGCTTGAATAACTGAATACACGAGTTAGATTGTTCTCAACGACTTTGGAGGGCTTCTTAAATATTGAATGGCGTACACTCAGATATTAGGTAAATATTTCTTTATTAAATGATTATTTCCATAAATAAATTCTTTTCACTGAATATAAAATTAAAATCATTTACAAATTATTCCAGTATTACATTTCCCCTCCCTCCCCAAAAGCTACATTTTGATAAATAAAAACATTCAGTCTTAAAACACCTGATTTCTGTTTGCATCTTAGGGTGCAGATAGCTGCCTCTCACGGACACTCATAGAGTGTCCCCTTCAGGAAGGGATGGAATGCCCTCCCACTTCTGTCCAAGGACCAAAGGAGGAAGGAAGGCTTTAACTGTCCGACTAATCTCATTATCTCTTACAATGATAGAACCGAAAGGAAAAAAGCCTGGAGAAAAAAATACGCTTAGCAAATAATTTACAAACAGAAAACAGAACGTCATCAACACCACAAGCTCCAAAATGAAGCAGTAACATGTGCTCCAATACTATGAAGCGAAGTATTCTCCCGTGGCGGCTGCATGAGTGTCCGTCTGCACCAGCACCCTTGGCAGTTTCGAAAGCCCTGAATCCTACTCAAGAATGAGCAGGGCATCCCTCCTACCATGAGTCCCTTCACCCACACCGCCCCCACCCAAGTCTCCGTGATTCTGATTCTGACACGCTTCTCTCCCTCGTGTGTCTACCCGCGAGCTGGAAAGCCAGGGAGCGTTTAGTCCCTAAATTTGTGAATGTCATTGAACAGCCTGTAGAAGGGGAACGCCGCCTCGTTGGCATGCGGGCAGTTGTAATTGCATTTGCAGGACTGGATCATCATGACGTTCTTGGAAAACGTCTCCCCGTCCTCGCAGCGGAACCGCATCTTCACCGTCCTGGTCTGCTGGGGCGTGCAGCAGCGACCGTCCACGCAGGAGCCGCAGTATTTGGGCCGGTATTTCTTCACGCTCGAACACCCGGCGTAAGCAAACCTCACTGGCTCCGGAGATTTCTTGGTCTTGCTGCATTTCTTACCTTTCTGGAAAAGACAGGGGGGAAGGAAAGTTAGGGATGATATTTCTCTTTCTTGAAAAAGGGGGCTCACACTCCCACCCACCTGCCAAGGAGCTGTCTACGCGTCCCTGGAGGAACTCACTTTCAGGCTGCTGTAGGCAGACTGTCCACAAGGCCGCACCTCACAAATTCGGGTTTCTTTCACCAGGCGGCATTCGGGGTTGTCGTTGGTGACTCGCGTGGAGATGCCAGTGCCACATGTCTTTGAGCACTGGGACCAGGACGTTGTTTGAACGATACACTTCTGGCCATGCAAAGGGTTGTATAGGATGCGAGGCTCCATCCCAAAAACTAGAGCGACAGACAAGAGGAGAGACTAATGCGAGGCCTGCGGACACGCACAACCCAAGCCCTTCGCGGAGGCTCCACACCAGGCATGCATTTCAGTACAACGTCTCAAGGGCTCCGTCTCCACTTACCGGGAAGCCGCTTCAGCGAGCTGCCTTTTGCAACGGCAATTAATTCATTGTTTCTCGTCAGCTCCACCTCGGAGGCGTCGAATGCCAGCTCCTTGCCGACCAGGCCGTCCTGGTCATCCGTGGGGTCCTGGACAGCGTCCTCGTCGCAGACCCACTCCTCGCAGCACTGCCCGGTAACTTTGACCAGCCGGGGGTTGGGACAGCCCAAGTTGGGGAGAGACAGTTCTTGGGGACACAGAGGGATGCAGCCCACGGCGCCATCAATACATGTGCACTGATGTTTACAGTTGGGCTGGAAGCTTTCCCCGTTCTGGTAGATTCTGGAGTTGTATTCACAAGGTCTGCCCTCGGACTGAGCTGCAGAGATCACCGAAAGAGAAAGGTAGAACGGGATCGAGTTAAGATTCCAAGCCGGCGCCTGAAACGTATACACACTTTCTGCTGTGAAATTCAATTTATGGTCAAGTTCCCTACAGTCCCCGGGAGGCTCCAGCCCAGAACAATAAGTCAGTCAGGAATCACTTTTCCGTATGCGCTTTCGTTGGGCCCAGACACACTGAATTGCATTCCAGACTGCTGAAATCATGTGCCTTTCTGCCAAGCTACCAACAACAAAGCCTCACCATACATGGTCTCAACATTACTAAACTTCTGGACTACGGGGACTCGTATCTTCCCTCCAGGGGCCCACGCGCGAGCGTCCTACCTCTGCAGATCCCCTTCGGAGCGCGGGAGCTGGCGCCGAAGTTGCACTCCAGCCCCTTGGTGTGGTCGCACGGCTGCGCCTTGCTGCAGTCCTCGTTGAGCTGCTTGGCGCAGACCTTGCAGCA